TGGCATTCTTTATTAGTTATACACTTCAAAACCTGAAATCAGGATTCACCTGGAGACTTGAGGAGGAGGTGAGGTGGTACTAATATTTAGTGTCTTGGAAATTTTTATTCTCAGTAAGTTTAAAAAGCAACTAGAAAACTAGTTGAGTGACTGATCCAGGTCTACAAACTTTAATGCTTCACCAGAGAAAATGAAGTGATTGCACGTTCCTTTTCTCAGCACCTAATCTAATCACATTTCTTCACGGGCTATTTGGACAAAGTGGCTCCATCCGGTTGCCTGAGTGTTACCGCATTCTTGGCATCTGGACAGCGAAGAGGAACAATGGCCTATCTAATAGAAAGGTTGAGTCCAAAGCTGACCCCATCGCAGTGTGCCAATTTAATAGACAAGAACAAGGATGTAGAAGATGAACTAATAAAAACAAACCAGAAGATACTGACTGTAACCCAGAAGCATGGTGTTTAATTTAAAAGACAGCTCTTCAGAAAGTCCTTTCTTCTGTTGTCAAACAAGCATCGGAACTTGTCTAGACTTCTAACCATTCAATTAGAATGGAGGCAAAGGACTGATACTCCTGGCTTTCGAACAAACACTAGGGCAGTGGGTGGATGCAGAGTGGGATTTCACGATACTTTCAGGTTGTCAGTTTTAATTGCTACTGTCTAAAAAAATAGATATGCTTTCTCTCGGTACATTTAGCTATTGTCCTCTCTTACATCATAGAAAACAACAGGTCTAGGTCTAAGTCTAACTAATAGCTTGTAATTTATCATGAAACAATTCTACGGGGCTGATGTCTTTCACTTGTTAAAGGAGAGTGGCTTATTCGTGAAATTTGTTTTCTCAAGTTAATATACTACGTGGAATACGAATGAAACTGCCGAGCGCAGTTGACTGATTGTGCCTGAAAGCACTAAATTTAAGAGACTTCTGTGTGTAAAGGTTTATTCCTTTTGTTGTTCTTGTTGACTAGGTCTCAAAAGATAATTGGATTCAGTCATACCTTTGGCCAATAGTAGGGAATACAAAATAAAAATATAGTTTTCAATTGTGCATAGGTGAGCTAAAGTATAAAACTCCTATATATTCAGTGATACAGAGAAGACATGTTAAGGTCAAATAAATATCATTATATTAAGATTCAAGCAGACTTCTGCTGGGTAAGACAAGTAATGTCAAGAGTGAAAAATCACAAACCTTAAGCATGTGATTGCTCTTTGTGGTGATGGGGCATTCATAGGTGGTGGTGTTCAGGTATGTATTTACCATTTTACTTCTGTCCCCCTGCACCCATGAGTATCTGAATGTATCAGGTAAATTCCTGCTGCTTTGTAGGTAGAGTGAATGTAAATATCATGAGCTACCCTAGATCTGTGAATTACTATAGTCATAACTGATTTTGCCTCAGATGTACAGACACACCCCTTGTCTAAATGAATCCATCCACTGTCGTCATCCTGAAAGAAAAGTTCCTTTATAAGATGGCATTGCTCAAAAAATAAAAAGCTGAAAGGGATCCAATTTAATTCCTATAAATATTGCTTAAATAAGTTTGTGCCACGAATTTGAAATTATAGAATAAACTACACAGGCATCTCTCATCACATCTAACTTTGAAGTCCTGTCAGCACAGTATCTAATTTATATGAAGCACCCTGGAGTCAATGTCTCTTTGTACTATTATTTGTCAAATGATTCAAGCACTGCTTTAAAGTATATGTGAGGTTACTAATCAATCTTAATGCTCTAAAATTGCATGCTATGCTACACACATTTTTTTTTCCTCTAAGCACATGAAATTCTAAATTATATTTGCCTTGATATTTTTATTTTTCTTTCTTTAAGGAGTATCATGGGAAAGAATGAAGCTGTTGTAAATTTAATATCTGCTATTCTGGTAAAGGAGTAAAGGCCTGGCAAGAACTAGTTTGTCTATGTGCCTGTGTGTATGTTTGTGACTCTAGGGTGTGTAAATGGTAAATGGGTTCTTGTAGGAGACAAAGAAATGTGATTGTTTAATGAGGAAAGTTCTAATCAAATGAAATATTCTATAATTTACCATTTATTTATTAACGATGTTCAGCCTATTGTAACTCCACATAAGGTTAAAAGTCAACATTGTTTGCTACTGGCAGTCTCACAGTTTGTGGGTATTTCTTTCGTTCTAAGTATTATGTTTCAACCTTTTACAATAATCTGCTGTAACTTTATTATTTTGTTAAGATCATCTGAATGCATATGACACAGACTTATAATTAACTAGGGGTGTCTGAGATGATTGGAAAATATAGATCAATTGAGAACATTTTACACACATACGGGATGGGGAAGCAGGAGAAGCAACAGGAGGAAGAAGGGCGAGAGACAGACCAAAGGAGAAAGAGAAAGGGAGAGAGAAGAGACAACTGCTTTAAGGCATTTAATTAAAAAGCAGAAAAACTTAGATATTTCAGGAAGCACTTTCTTGCCTATCTGGGCTAAGGAAGCACTTAGCCCAAGCAACATTTCAAGGATGGTATCCGGGCTACTAAGCAAAAGCAGAAAATGAATGTGACTATCTGCCTTTACTTCACTGGAACAATTATGAGACAGGTAAAGGTAATATAAATATCAGAAGAAGTGAAAATTCCATGAGATCGTAAAAGCTGCCAAGAGCTCTAGAATCTCCCTTTACTTATGATTGTAAAGTACCCAGTGAGAATATCTGAATATGGCTTAAATATATTTTTGATAAGTTCTGTAATGTCCTGAAATTTATCTCAGGCTTACGTTGGTCTCAAGAGTGACGACCAATAGGCATTACCAGGGTTCAAAGATTATTAATATTGCCGAGTTCCCCTGAAGGCACTTATACCCTAGGGCACCTCACTTACTCACCAATAAGCAATTCAAATGTGAGTGCTCAGGGCCCTACAACCAATGTCCTTTATGATTTGTCTGTGTTCTGTGCCAAACAGACCTCTCTCTCTCTCTCTCTCTCTTTGTCCCTGCTCTCCTAACTCAGGACTCAAGAAGGTCAATCTGTACCCTCCATACATGCCTCCTTTCCTAGCCTTCCCACGAAGTCTTAAGAAAAATGGACATCAACCAGGTAAGTATTCATGGGGACCATCCTAAACACTCACCCAATGGTGGAGGCTCCACCCTCTCAGCAGAACATGCTCCCAAGGGAAAGGAGGGACAGGGGTGGGGATAAGGGTGGTGGGATTTGATTCAGGCCAGGGGATACACAGTGAGGGTCCCCATTCAATAATCCCTATTGAATTTCATCACCACTTAATAACATATCTTTGTATTTTATTGTATTATATTTTTGAGAGAGGGTCTGTCTCTGTCACTTGTGCTAGACTGCACTGGCATGATCTTGGCTCATTGCAGCCTTGACCTTCTGAACTCAAGCTATCCTCCCACATCAGCCTCCTGAGTAGCTGGGACTATGGACACACACCTTCATGCCTGGTTCATTGTAAAAAACTGTGGTAGACACGTGGTCTCACTATATTGCCCAGGCTGGACTTGACCCAAGTGATTCTCTCACCTCTGTTTCCCAAAGTGCTGGGATTACAGGCATGAGCCACTATGTCCAGCCAATACACCTTTTACAATTTTTAAGTTCAGGAGTACATGTGCAGGTTTATTACAGAGGTAAACTTGTGTCATGGGGGTTTGTCGTACACATTATTTTGTCACTCAGGTATTAAACCTAATACTCATTAGTTATTTTTGCTGATCCTCTCCCTCCTCGCAACCTCCACCCACTTATAGGCTCCAGTGTGTTGTTCCCCTCTACGTGTCCATGTGTTCTCATCATTTATAGCTCCCATTTATAAATGATAACGTGGTATTTGGCTTTCTGTTCCTGCATTAGTTTAACACACCTTTCTCGAAATCAACACAGGCCCTCTTGTCTCCAACATTTGTAATATCAATATTATCATCATTAATAAATATAAAGAGCCAACACAACATCTTCATTATGGACTGAGCACATTCTCAGCACACAAATGCACACACATGCATTTAATTTGACCACTAAAGTTACTATCATTTCAGTTATTCAGATGAGGGAAAAACAGAGGCATCGAGAATTGAATATATTGAGGCAGAGGCAGGATTCAACCCAAATAGCTCAAGAACAGAGTTGATGTTCTTCAGCTGCCATGCTAACTGCTCTCACGTAGCCCACAGGACTGTTTGACCCAAGTTAATATGGATAGATACTCATGAACTGTTTCCAAACTCAAGTTTGGGAAACATTAAGTCAACTATACTTTATTATTTTCTTCTTGTTTTTTAAAATGTAAGGCTCCTTGGGTACTTTCAAGGGATTGTTAAATATGTTATCAAAATAAAATTTCTCATGGTTGTGAATCAAGTAATTCAGAAGAGATTGCGCTTAAAATTGTCATCAAATTATTCGCCACTCCTGGTCCCACTTTTACCTTTTTTAAAATTTTAATTTCAGCTGTTGGTTGACTTTAATGACCCCCATATTATAATAATGATTTTGAAATAACAGGTGCATAGCATTCGTTTTTTATTTACATACTTTTGAGGATAATTATGAATGCTATATAAAATGAATTTAGTTTACTTTTATGATAACTTCCCCCTTACTTAATTCTAAAGTTAAAATTTCCATTTTAGTTCCTTCACACGTCTCTTATTTTAAAATAATACTCCCTAATTATGATTTGTTAGTCCCCTTTACTCAGAATTTGCACTTATCTCTACCCCGCCCAGCCACATCATTTTCTTCCACCTACCTCCACCTGAGAGATGGCTTCACTTTTATGTCATTAAGGCTGCTAACATCTGCACTGTCTTCTACAACCACAACCAGTGCCGTCCATTTGAAGACTATTTGAAAAACAAATGCTGTGATTATGTAAGACTCTATTTTATGCATAGGAATCATCCATCTTATTAAGTAGTTTCTTGTGCAGTTGTGTTCTTTAAAGAAGTAAACCATTTTCCAAGACCTCCATCTACAGTACCTGTAACTTTCAGCTTTTCAGCACCAATGGTAATCTCATCTTCATCTGCAGAAAACAGCACCCTGCCATCTTCACTGGCTCTCACTTCAAATCTCTTACACTGAGCTTCCACAGCATCAGCTCCTACGGTCAGAGGAAAGGTTTAAAAATGAAACTGGTATGCAGGAAACCATTAACATGTACTTTTTGGAAAAATACTGGAAATGCATATATTATTTATTTATCTCTTCTGTATTTTTTGCATCTGAGTTAGTATTTTTAAACTGTCACCATTTTCAGGAGGCTAATTTGGTAACGTATTTCCGTGCTAGGCTGGTTAGACAGACAGGTGACCTCTAGATGCCTGACATAGTGTGTGAGTTTAGCCAGTTAGGAGCCCTTCACATATCCACAAAAAGGGACAATGTTCGCTTTATTCTGTGTTGCAGGCTGAAAACTTGGCATCGTACCTGGCACATGCTGGATGCTTAATAAGTACTTGCGGACTGAATGGCTCTCGTGCCTTCCCTTTGCAAGGCAGACAATGGTACCCATGCTTGCTACATCACGGGGGACTTGTTAAGCATTATTCAATTATGAATCTTTAGTTAGTCTACATGCCATAGATCGTAATATTGATGTTTTCTACCCTTTGATATAACTGAATTTTAATCAATTTTATAGTACATCTTGAAATTATATACATAATTTTCTTAGTGGTCTGTAATGTATCTTCCAAACAATAATTTTCCTGACTTATTGAAAAACTGTATTAAATAAATGTAATTACAAAACCAACTTATTGGCCAATTCTACACACTAATCTATACACAAAACTCAAAGTCAGTTTCCATATTTGGAAAACACAATTAGTTTGAGCATTAGGCTTTGGCAAGAAAATCTAACTGGGCCTTGAAGATGAATATTAACTTAGGAGAAAGAAATTTGAGATAATGGACAGTGATAAGTGATCTTCCCATAATACCAATTTCTTTCTTCGGGCATAACACATTTGGCATATGGATCTATAGTTCTCACTCCTATTAAGATAGGAAATATTCCTCATCTTCTATTTATATGAAAAGCTCTTATCAGATAGAACCCAGCTGAGTCAGGGAAGTAGGAATCACACATGTTGTGCATAGTTCTTTTCATTTGTCTTTATATATTCACATTATTTATTAGATATATGACACCTAGGAGCTCAAAGGAGGACATCCATCTTTGTATTCAAAAATATCCTTAAATTAGGAAATGTGTCTGCTTCTAGCAGCCCTAGTAGATGAATATTAAATAGCTGAATAAATACTTGACTTAACCATTTTTTCGTCCCTAACCCCACCTCAGCACTACTTCCAAGGCTAGCCAATAGGCTGCAAAAAAATTACTCCTCCCCACCATCATAGCTGCTGACGAGCATTAAACAAGAGAAAAAAATAATTTAAACCCTAGTAACATGTAAGCTACTTTCTCCAAAAGCAATATGTAATTTTTTAATATTCTGAAATTACCTACATGCTTCCAGGACCACATAAGAAATTTGACAAGCTTCAACTAGGGATATCTAAGTAAGATTAAAACTAATGTTAAACTTTTGGGGTGTCAAGTTCAAAACAACAGATTTTTAAAAATATAACTCATGCTCTTTAAAATTTTTTAAATAAAGACCTTTCCTTATATAATTTTTTTTTTTTTTTTTTTTTTTTTTTTTTTTTTTTTTTTTGAGACAGAGTCTTGCTCTGTGCCCCAGGCTGGAGTGCAGTGGCGCGATCTCGGCTCACTGCAAGCTCCGCCCCCCCGGGTTCACACCATTCTCCTGCCTCAGCCTCCTGAGTAGCTGGGACTACAGGCGCCCGCCACGGTGCCCGGCTAATTTTCTTGTATTTTTAGTAGAGACGGGGTTTCACCGTGTTAGCCAGGATGGTCTCGATCTCCTGACCTCGTGATCCGCCCGTCTCGGCCTCCCAAAGTGCTGGAATTACAGGCTTGAGCCACCGCGCCTGGCCTCCTTATATAATTTAGTGAAAATATGGAAACCTTTGAAAAAGACCTATTGTCCTTGGTCATAGTTATTGCATTTGATCTTGGAAACATTATTTCAGCAGCTTGTATTCACTTGAGTGTGATTTCTTCTAATCATAGCCTAATCTTATTTTCTGCCATAGAAGACAATGAGCCCTAGTAATCCAGCTATTGGGTGATATTCAAAAACCTGTGCCAGAGGCCAATGTGTTAATACATGCGACTTACTCTGAGGGACTCAAGCATACATTAACCCTGAACTGCCTGAAAAATATAGATATTTTACACATAAAACCTCAATATTTACACTACATTGCTTCCTTCAAATACTCAGTTGCTGAGCATAATTGATTGTCAAAATATATCACTGACTTTAATGGCACAGACGTACATTAGATAACGTTAAACACACACACAAAATAGCAAGACTTTTCTTGGCATAACACATAATGTCATTATATGAAAGATACCTTATTAACATAAAATGCTATATTGCATGACATATAAACTATTAGAAAAATAAGTGGAGCAGTGTCTGCATATGGTAAAGTGAGGTGAAATCTTAGTTCATTAAATGCAAATAAGCAAAGGCAAATAAGCAAACAAGAAAATATTTACACACATAGATGAGATGCATCTAAGCCATAAATAAATGCATGCAGAGCCATCCAATTGAAAAATAGGCATAAAAATTAATACTGCAGACTACACTTTATTCATCATATTAGCATAATTACAGAAGGCAAAATTACAGGCAATTAGCAATGCAATGATAGTAAATAAATATTCTAAATCAGAAAATAATTTTGAATATATTGCATTTACATACATTGCTTTTCTTTCCTGCAAATGGAAAATGACAAGATATGTTCTTGGGGATGTAGTCAATTATTAGGGATATTTATGCTTAAAGTTAATACGTTAGGCTTTATGAAACTGATTTTATTATATTCTAATATGCATTGTGTTACTCATCTGTTTTTCATGTAACATCACATGTTCTCTAAGCTAGGTCAAGGCAGGGTTCAGTTGCTAAGAGGATCAACAATGCCCCATTCAATCTTAATCCACCAATGATGATGCCAGTGTTGTAGGAAAGCAGTGAGTCTAGATGACTCCGGTTATGGAGCTCTGATTCCTTAACAAGTAGATAATGGGATATGGGATTATCTGGGTAGTGCTATATTTTCTTAGTCATCTTAAACACCAACTTGCTAACTAAAGTACCAAGACTAAATGCTTCCTTGGGAACATCTCTGGGAAAGTTTATGCCAATAAACTCACAATCAAAAAAGAGAAGTCAAGGATAGAAGAAGAAAAGAGAATTGACAGGAAAAAAAGAAAAGATGGAAGCAAAATAACAGGTTCCATAAAAGGATTGAAGTATTAGATATATGTGCAAATATTTTCTATAGTTTTTTAAATGTTCTGTATACATTTTTTTTTTTTCTTGAGACGGAGTCTCACTCTGTCGCCAGGCTGGAGTGCCGTGGTGTGATCTGGGCTCACTGCAACCTCCACCTCCCGGGTTAAAGTGATTCTCCTGCCTCAGCCTCCTGAGTAGCTGGGATTATAGGTGCCTGCCACCATGCCTGGCTAATTTTTGTATTTTTAGTGGAGACAGGGTTTCACCAAGTTGGCCAGGATGGTCTCAACCTCTTGACCGTGTGATCTGCCCACATTGGCCTCCCAAAGTGCTGGGATGCTGGGATACAGGCATGAGCCACCACACCCGGCCTCTATATACATTCTTAAAAGAAAAAAAAAACCACCATCACTAAGGACAACCATAAAGCCAATGTCTTGTTTCTCTCAGAGTTGGCTCCATCACTTTTTTGGAACTTTCACATCTGTTGCAGTCTTAATCAATAGCCAAGTCATCTTTGGCTGACAAGGAGAGAGAATTCAGTAATTTCAATACTGGTCTTTGTATTTTCTACATTACATCAGTCAAATACATGAATTGGAAATTTCTCTTATATAAAAATCTTCAAAGAGGCTCAAAGACTCCTCAGAAAAAAAAAAAGGAATCTTTCAAGATTCCTCTTGGTACTATTTAGCAGTAATTCAAATAAAACAAAACAAAGATAAAAATGAATACAGCAGTTTGTTTCTAGTGTGTCTTCCTCAAACATGGCATGATCATCCTTTCTTTTCTGTATAACTCCACAGTTTAATCTTAGATGTCTGTCAATATTTTCAAGGCCTTGAAGAAGAGTATTATTAAAAGATTCAAAATTCCACAGGGAAAACAAACGTAAGATTCAAAATTGTAAACTAAACTCTATGTTTGGAAATCCTGGTTTAGAATTGCCAAGGGCCATACCAATCAACCAACCAACAACAAACTAAGTTTAAAACAAAATAAGCTGCTTTCATGAAATGTAAATATAAATATACACTGTGATATGGTTTGGTTGTGTCCCCACCCAAATTTCATACTGAGATGTAGCTCCCACAATTCCCACATATCATAGGAGGGACCCGGTGGGAGGTAATTGAATCATGGGGGCAAGTCTTCCCTTGCTGTTCTCAGGACAGTGAATAAGTCTCATGAAATCTAATGGTTTCATAAAGGGGAGTTTCCCTGCACAACCTCTTCTCTTCCCTGCTGCCATGTAAGATGTGACTTGCTCCTCCTTGCCTGCAGCCATGATTGTGAGGCCTCCCCAGCCACGTGGAACTGTGAGTGGTCCATTAAACCGCTTTTCCTAAATGTTAAGGGCAGCCAGAGAGAAAGGTTGGGTTACGCACAAAGGGAAGCCCATCAGACTAACAGTAGACCTCTTAGCAGAAACTTTACAAGCCAGAAGAGAGTGGGGGCCAATATTCAACATTCTTAAAGAAAAGAATTTTCAACCCAGAATTTCATATCCAGCCAAACTAAGTTTCATAAGTGAAGGAGAAATAAAATCCTTTACAGACAAGCAAATGCTGAGAGATTTTGTCACCACCAGGCCTGCCCTACAAGAGCTCCTGAAGGAAGCACTAAACATGGAAAGCAACAAACCACTGCAAAAACATGCCAAAATGTAAATTCCATCGATGCTAGGAAGAAACTGCATCAACTAACGAGCAAAATAACCAGCTAACATCATAATGACAGGATCAAATTCACACAT